ATGCATAGTACAAGTAAATAATATCCTCGACCATCTAAACAACATGTTCTATATAATATAATTTCTTTTTGAACCCAGGGAAAAGAATATCAAGAGTGCATAGTACAAGTAAATCATATCCTCGACCATCTAAATAACATGCTCTATAATATCCTTTTGAACCCCAGGGTAAAGAATATCAAGAGTGCATAGTACAAGTAAATAATATCCTCGACCATCTAAAAAACATGCTCTATAATATCCTTTTGAACCCCAGGGTAAAGAATATCAAGAGTGCATAGTATAAGTGACACCTCAGCTAATAATCACATCACAAGCATCAGAAACCGCGGCGCCCGCTCCATGAAACCGATCATGCGGCACATCTCAGTCCTGAGAAGGGCCGCGCCGGGGGCCACAGCTCACAAGGGACCTCAACCTGGTGAAAGGTCTTAATTCGATGGGCTTTACAGGAAATTCAGGATATATCAGGATATAATATAATGAGTTGGATAAACACCGGTTTCCCAGGATTTACCTCAATAAATTTCTAGTCTGACAATCCCAAACTAATACAATACACCCAAATTATCCCACATATATAGTCTTGTGTTTTGTGGATTAAGATTCTTCCAATTTGGTGTCAAAGGCTCTGAGCTACTGCACACGTAGGTAGCCTGGAATCTTCAGCAAGATATGTAGGATCAGCAGCTGCTTCCCGTAGACAGGATCCAAGCCATTCAGAAACAACGCGTCCATTGTAAGCTTTGCACGTCAAAAGGATATCGTTGGTGCGTTTCTTGTACAACTTAGTTGGTGCTTTGCACAGTGAAGGGCAGAATTCAACTGGAAACTAGCAGTCAGTCCCGAACCCTCAAAAATATTGCAAGGGACCTCTCAGATCCAAACCAACCGCATCATCAAATCTAAAATTGATAGACTGTAAACAAAATCGAATACCTTGGAAGCAAGTAACCAATCCTTCTGTAAATGGTGGCTGACTGCAGGAAACACGGTTTGCTGAACACCATGTTTTGAAACATTTGTAGGCTTCTGCAAGCTTGATGGTCACTGAAGACTCTTTGGGTGCAAAGTATCCGAGATCCATCAACATGTTCCTCAGGCTCAGTTGAAGCTTTTGTAAAACTGGGGTGAACCCACACCATGACATACACCCCAAAGCACAGCAGCAAAAATGAAATAAGGCAGCACCTCAATATGTAGCGCGCTATAATATATAGTATTAAAACATTGCCGGCAAAAATCAAGGATGCACCATTGGAAACATACAAGATGCCCAGGTGGACAATGTGCATCGTGCACCATCTTATAACACCGTGGCTGAAGTTCTTCAGAATCACCAATGGACCTAAGTAGGCCACCCATGGCAAGAATCCTTTTGGAAGTATTCCCCTTTACTCATGCATGGCTTTAAATGCATATCTTTGGCCGATGCAATCAAGAATCGGAATTTAGAGATATAAACAACTTAAGAAATGAAACCAAGTAACAAATTCCGTCGGATGGCAGCTGGTTGTTCAAAAAGTCTGCAAAGCGCAGTGTGTAGTTTTCACCGGGGTCTACATCCCAGGTCGCTCCCTCGAAATTGTAGTATCTCTCAGAGTAAGGGCCCACTGACTTGGCTGAGCATTGGTGACAAGTGTGGCGTCCCTGCCAGCTAGCCTTACACCGAAATATTTTTTTGATCCAGCTCCAGTCACCCCGTATTTCAGTGCATGAAAAGACTGCGCCTGAATTGCATTTTTTTGACCAGCGACCTTCTGCATGTCTGTTGGCAGTCTCTCCCCGCCCATCCCCATTGATGGATGAATCCCAGAGTCTAGTAGGTTGTAAGACCATACCAGCTTTCTCAATATACAATTCAGCGTATGGTGTCGCCACAGGGATGCCTCCTCTATGACAAATAAAAGATATCTGGAGCAGCGTACGCTGCGTGGGCGCCATAGTGGCAGTGACATGAATAGTCCTATCACAGACTCATGTTTGCCATATTTGAAAATCAGGGTCGCCCCATCCCCGTAGAACCCTAGGGGGATGTGGCTCTCCGAAGCCTGGCTATGTAAGGCCCATGGTTCTTTGTTTTGTCTGGACGTCCTCCAAAAATGTCGGACCTCCTCTGGGTCAATGTGTAGACCTCCCTGGTTGAAAAGATATGCAATGATTTCATGGGGGTACATCATATAATAAGTCTTCATTTCGTAGGTCGGCTCCGGCAGGGTCTTGTCATCCACTTTGACTGGGAGCGAAACTTCTCGTAGTGGGACATCCTCCTTAGCTTAGTATATATGGTCATCATGTGTCTTACAAGTTCATTCAACAAATAAACTGTTTGTCATACCCGCTTTATAGATAGAGGACAGTTGTTTTGTTATAATTGCTTCAAAGTAGCCACTCCACCACCCATCACATGCCAAAAATTTCTAACGCTGTTGGCCTTCGACAAGTTCCCAAGTTTTCGCACCAAGGGATGTAGACCATCCTCATAGCTTTTGGAGTCCTGAGCAGTTGACTCAGTAGTCAAAGGGGGAGGTCCCAAGTTTTTTCTGGACTAGACAGGAAAAATTATTCCCAAGACTCCCATTTAATTCATGACATGATGTATGTTCTAAACAGAAATGATGGTCCTTTTGGCCTTTTGAAAATAATGGGGTACATTTCCCACAAAAACCTGACGTTTCAGCACTGGCCCTTTCACAGCTGCCGGCAAAGGTCCTCAACATGGGCCTGCAGATTCTTCATGGCCTTGCTCACAGGCACGCCCTCAGGGGCCGTGGTGCGGACAGCAGGGTGCTCAACAAGGATGAACTAGGAGGGGTTTATGATTGCTAGTTACTAGTTCATGTTGTATTTATATGATATTATATCGATCTATGTGATATAGATCTATAAATTAATTAAAGTGAGGATATCTCAGTCAAGTCGTCCATTAATCAACACCAAGTAGCAGCTGAACTAACTCCATCGATAGCTTCCACCAAAGTAGACGATGAAGCGAGTTCCCTCAAGTTTTCACCTGCACAAGCCCCAAATCAAAAGACGTGCGATTTCCCGGTGAAAAGTTCAAATTGGATTCTATGGGCTTATAATTACGTCAAGCATCAAATTGGATTCTATGGGCTTATGATGGCTTAGGTCAAGCAATCTTCGAGCAAGTCATTGCTGAGTACTTTTTGTCCCCAAAGCGGCCTGTGATTGAGTTAACCCCGGAATGGTGTTCCTATGTTGCTCCTTTGGTTGAACCGGCATGCGCATTCGCACGCTGGCCACGCCAAGCAACCTTCACCATAAAACTCACTAGCACCCTGTCCAAGTTCATGGATTATGGCGTCGCTCAAACAAAAAAGGTATTCTTCAATTATATTATTTTCTTGTTAAGAAGATGTGGCAAAATCCCCAATGAAGGAATCCAAACCTCTTTAAGATCATTCTGGCGCATGCCTTTTGGATTGGTGGCCATGGTGCAAGATCACAGGATCCTAGGAAGCCAATCACTTCAGATTGCTTCGCGACAAGAAATCTTTGTAATCATCCAGCAACCTGTTGGCTTTGCTGACAGCCTCATTGAGCTTCGGGGCCTAGCAGGTTGGGATTGATTTGGATATTAAAAACATGGGGTACTTGGTATGGCAACAACATCCATGTTCCACAATTGGGACTTCAAAATGACTAGAGGAAACCCAACCGCTCCTCAACTGACTGGGCATCCACAAATGTTTGCATGGAATCTCGTTCTGCTGCAAGCCGTTGCTTGAAATCCTTCAGGTCCTTCTCGATGGCCTGCCTCACCAAGTCAGACCTGGGCCCAGAAAGGTGTTGATCTTGGGGCAACAGTCTGCATGTGGTCTTTTCTAGAGGTGGCATATAATAAATATATAGGTGGCCCCACAGGACAATAAAAAACAACTAATTTGCTAACAAATTGTTTTTTCATTGTCCTGTGGGGCCACCATATGAAAAACACATTTGCAATTGGCAAGTCAGGTGGTTGACTTAGTCTATAGGCGTTTGTTTGATCCTGGTCATATCGTTTTTTTGCGCTAATCCATTTTAGAGTGACCCCTGCTGAATAAATTCATATAATAATTATTATTGAATCTGATGCAAGGCACAGGTTCGCCTATATGGGATTTGATGGGACTGTTTATGATATATATGGCAATCAAGATTACATTGGTCTAATTCTTTCCCAGAAAATAGCACTATTCCATACCAGTCCCAGAAGAATGAAACAATGCTCTTCTTTGTTTGATGAACGTAGTCCAGATTAGGCTGCCCCTAGATGAAGCCACCCAGAGCCAAGCCAAAAACACTTGAGGCCAAAACAGAGTGGGAAGCATCGACTCTTTCTTCGAGGCGTCAGCAATTTTGGAGTTCAAAGTGGAGACAGCCTGGGCAGTGGAATAGATCACCCTGGCATTGACCCGCTGTAGACTATCCATCGCCCAATTTAAGTGGTGTCCCATCATATATCAAAATCATTTAAAATCATTTGATTTTATATACAATCAGGGTAGGATACAAGTATCATGCACACTGACCTGTGCAGGGTTGAAGGGCTGCCTGTATAGTTTAAAAAAACATCAGTTGTGAGAAGATGATTTGGCTGGTAAGATCATTTCTATTTCTGTATTGTTTGTTGCCTGCTTTGCTCTTCCAATCTCTTGTCGTTTTTTCTTCTCTTCTTCTTTCTTTAACTCTTGACTACGCTGCTTTTCTTCCTTTTCGCGTCGCTTTGCAAGTTGCTCGGGTGTTTCCCTCTTGTCTCCGTCTTTCTCTTTCTCTTTGGTGGTATCCTTTTTTTCCTTCTTGTCTTTTGCTGACTTGCCTTTTTTTCCGTTCTTGCCTTTGCGTTTTTTCCGCTTCTTGTCCTGTCAGGTGAGCATAGTGAAAGGGCATTCCAGTCAAACACTCTGACACAGGGGTTCAAGATGCACACCAACAAACAGACCTAGGAACCCATTGCACTCATGATATCAGGGAGTTTGCAGAAGTAGTTGATGTCAGTCCTTTTCATCGCTTGATGATGTACTGCTTTCACTTTCTGAGTATGTGTCTGACTTTGACGAAGAGGTTGACGAATGTCTTCTTTTCTTTGACTTTCTGGATTTCTTGCTTTTCTTCTTTGATTTGCGTCGATCCTTCTTTCTCTTGTGCTTGTCACTGGATGCAGACGATCCAAGATCCTCATGGCCTTGGTGTCGGTTTGCATCAGCATCCACAGCTCTGAAGATACTGTCGAGAATCGTGTCGTTTTGCTCTTCAACTCCCTCCTTGTCCCAGCACAGATACAAGGTGGCGTCCTTAATTGAGGCAGGAAAGTAGCAGAGCAGAGTTGAGGACAGAGGCACCACAATCTGCTACAGGTATTCCATATATATAAACACATAACACAAAAGAAAAACATACTACTAGAGTATCTATTCAACAAATCCTCAATCAAGCTACATCGTTCATCGGGGCATCTGGGTTTCGTTTCCACAACTTCCCTTCACCATGGGGGTCAGCCTTCTTGTCGTCGCAAATTTGGTTTGCGAGTTCCCAATTTCCTGAGTACTTTTCTGCTACTGTGGCTCTTGTCATCCATGATCGGCATCCACGCCTTCTGGTCCGTGAAGACTCTTGAAGTTGTACAAGAAACTGTGAGTCTGACCACCGTCCCTGACAACTTTCCCATTGTTCTTGAAGTAGAGCCAGTTTCTCCGTGCCTCAGCAGTTTTTTTTCTTTTAAATGTACATGCCCTGTAGTGGTCAAATTTTGCATGTGCCTGAACGTATTAATGACTAAAATGTATGTTTTGCCCATTGGTGTTTGATATTTCTATATTTTTTAGTTTGTCATGTTGAGGGATGCCATTGTCAGCCAAGGTAGTGCCAAGTAACAGTATTTGGCATCTTTGCCTGCAGCTCTTATTTCTTTGGGTGTTGAAGGACCTAAGATGATAAATCGATCGATGTACAACATAGGATCAAACTGTTGAAGAGATTTTCCAGTCAAAACATGTATACATGTATCGATAGGCTAATATGCACTCCCAAAGTTTCTTTCAAATACACATGTTGGAAGTTAGCGCATACATCGTCCACAATCTAGCTAGCTAAGGAAAGAACTGTCCAAACTCCTTGAGAAGCGCATGTATCGAGCATGTGCGGCCTTTTCAGCAGGTGTTTTTTCCCTTCTCTTCTTGGGTGCCTTAGTAGTATCTTGGTCATCCCCATCTTCATTGCCTTTGCCTGCATTGGAGTCTGGAGTTGTCACCTTAGTATCTGGGTCTTTCGCTTCATGGCTTGCATCTTTGCCTTTCGATTCTTTGTTCTTCTCCTGTGGTGTCTGCAGTTCCTGAGTTGCCGTTCTTTGCAAAGCATGCGACACAGCTTCTGAAGCTTGTGCAGCCTTGGCTCTTCTTGCTGGGGTAGGCATTGTCTCTACCTTAGGAACACTTGGTGGCGCTTTCTGTCTGAACCTTTTTGGTGGTACCTCAGTGGTTTCTGGTTCAGGTGCTGCAGGATCAGGAGCTGTTGAAGCCTTGCACTTCTTGCCAGCAGCTGCTTTTGCAGCCTTAGAAACACGGCGCCGCATGCGTCTTTTGGGCTCTGGTTCCACACGGTCATGACTTTCCTTCCCTTTGGGTCCTTCTTTGCGTTTGGGCTTGGCGCTCACTGGTGTGGGGGTAAAGTTCAGGTGTCTTCTGCAGGTCTTCGAGTCTTTTTCTGATCCTAAGTCTGACTTCGATGTGGCGGATCTTCGCACACGCGGGGCGGGTGTGACAGGAGCTGCAAGTGCGGTTGCTTTCTCCGAAGCTTCTGTGTTGGCAGCACTAGCTACTGGAGGTTCTTCTTTTGTTTCTTTTTCAGATCCTGGCATCATATAAACCATTTGATCCATATCAACCCTAGTTTTGTGCATATGCACGAGCAATCAGGCAAGATATGCAAGTTCAACAAGTAATATTACAATTTAATAGTACTAACATGTAAAAAAAGCTTTGATATACCTTCGTAAACCTGATCTCGTAAAATTGAAGCTAAAAGTCCTGACGACTGTGCCTTTCCCTTGCTAGCTTGTGAGGTCCTGGCATATTGTTGACAACACAATCAAGATGTCACTTTAGTTCTCTGTGGGACCTTGGTCTGTTGCTTATCATTGTTCAGTCCTTCCATTCTGCTGCAGCCGCATTTCTTTTGCCTTCTTTAAGACTTCTGCGACTTTTTCATGGGTTTTGCCAGTCATGTTGACTACTTGGCTGCCTAGTTCCAAGCCAGCTGCTTCGGGCCACCAACACATAGATGTGTTCAGGCAATTCACGCATAAAACGTTTTTTTTACTTCACCTGAATCCAAAATTCATGAAAATGGTGAAAACTATTGAAAAATGATGTTTTTTTTTAAACGTGCGTTCACGGTAAACAATGTGCTTTCACGCAGTTTCACGGTCGTTCACGGATGTTTCACGGGTGTTTCACGGCCACATTTTTGATTTTTTTGGAAATTGCAGGTTGCCACATTTTCATGTTTTTTTTTGTGGTTTTTCATCTAGCACCACATGAACAGTCACAAACAAAAGGCTTGGGTCCCACATGATAGCCAAGCAACCCACCATCCAAATCAGAAGCTATCAAATTTGGAGCCCGATTGGCCCTCGGCAGTCTAATTGAGCTAGTCGCAAATCAGGAAAGCTCTAGAGATCCAGCTAAGGTACTAGGGTGTAGTGCTAGAAACTTTCATGAATTGGCATGGGTATATTAGGTGGACCAGGTTCCCAAATCTGGAGTTGCTAGGGCTCTACCTGATTTCAAACAGCATTCTAGCAACCGCTGCACCACAGCTTATTTTGTCAAGCTGTGGTTTGTGAAAACAAAGAAGAAATTGGCAACTTTGGATGATAGCGGCCCTCTTTGTATTCATTCCTCAAGAACTCCTGAACCTCTGCAAGATGGGCATGACGCCACCGGTAGGGGCCAGCAACGGGCACCTTCCAAACAGAACAGGATCATGGCCGACCAGTAAACCACATCACTAAGCAGCAAATGTTATTACGTAAGGGGCCCTGTTCCAGAAGCTTTTCTTTACCAGGTTTGAATATTCACAATTCAGCATGCATATGTGCCCTACTACTATTGTACAGGGTATACCCATCAAATTGCGCACCTTGACAGGCCTGGAGTTTGGAGCCAATTGCCTGAAAGGCGTGTGGTCCTTGGTAGCCTGGGCAAGCAGGGCTGGGACAGCGTTGGCTAGACAAGATTTTTTAAAAACTATCTTGGACTGTTTGATTGAAATCAAATAGGCACAGTCAAGAAACCATCAGGTCGAGATGGTTGGAAGCAATTGCCTTCCCAAAACCATCTGGGTATTCAGCACTGGCCCTCAACCCAGTAGATCCAGTCCTAAGTAAATCTACATCAATGGTCAATCAAGTATATAATAATCGTTGCGATTGTAGTGCATGGTTGGGTAATAATCAAAACCTCATGATCATACCTCATACCTGTCCCTAACACTCTCAATCTCTTTTGCAGAAACAACAGGCAAGTGGCACTGAAACAGTCCCATTCTGACGGATTTTTTTTGTTGTCGTTTGATACTTCTTCTTCATTTTGTTGGCCGCCACACGTCGTTTGTCCTTCTTGCTGAGCTGTTTCTTCAAGGACAGGATCCACGGCCTAGGCCCAGCTGGAATAGATCCAGTCGAGGAACAATCGATATCTCTGATCTAGTACAGCAGCATATAATTTATCATTTATTGATTATAAGATTTATATGATTTATGTTTCAGGGGTGAGGGATGTATTCAATCTATTTTCATCTTTGAGGTGTCAACAAAAAATAGATCTCCCACGACAACCCTGTCCAGACAATAAACATCTTCTGAAATCTTCTGAACATATGAGGTCAGCTGGCAAAGTACAAGCTCATTGAGGAGCGGGCGCTGTGCCAAACATCATGCTTGGCTTTCGGGTATGGGAGCCGTAAGCAGCCATGGGACTCAGCATCAGATTTTAGATAATGACCAAATTGAATCATTTAGCTCCCTGATCAAACTCCAAGTGTGCAACAGAATAGGTCACAGAATCTATTGATATAATAGGCTGGGGCTGGGACAATCGGCATTGATGCCACTTCAGAGGGCGAATCTTTTTGGCCATCCAAATCCAGTAAAACATCCAGGGCATCAGTGAACTAGAAGGTTGCTCGACAGCAACGTATACTGAACGGCATGTGGCCAGGAAGGCCAGCATCGTCAGTCGTGCGCAAATCCTAGGCTGGATCTGAACATCTTACCTATTATGATTCAAATATCCAATCCTTTCAAATAGTGTTTTCTTCTATATAGATGGGTTTGAGATCAAATGCTGACAAAGCTCGTATTGTTTTGTCGAACATACAACTTTGAGCAATCCCCCAGTGGCCTTTTCTTGCTACGACGGGATGTTGATCGATTAACCCATACGTAGCTGCCACAAGGAGGTCCACATATCATGGCCCCCAAGGGAATGAGCCGCAGGCAAACCTGGATGAACTTGCAAAATCCAGGCCTCAGTACGGAACAGGCGAAGAGCACCAAGGCTCTGCCGGATTGGTGGCATTTCTCAAAGCTGCGAACAAGTTGGCAGCCAATGCTATTGATGGTCGTGTCTTCTTCGGGTACACTGTCATTTGAGACTGGAGAAGTGGCTCATCTCTTCTTTGGGGAAGATGACGGCATTGGCATGCGGCATTGGCATGTTCTTCAACGACCAGCCATTGGCATGATGATGATGACGACGACGATGACGACGACGATGGTGATGGGGTGATGGTGGTGGTGCTGCTGCTGCTGCTGATGATGATGATGTTGATGATGATGATGATGATCATATGATGGCGATGATGATGATGACGATGATGATGATGATAATTTCGAATAAGAAAATCATCATGATGGTGATAATTTCGAAGAATAAAATAATCTTGATGGTGAATAAGAAAAGGATGGTGGTGGTGATGGTGGTTGTGACGGTGACTAGCTTGGCCCCCAACATTGTGAGGAGATCGTGGGAATCATCGATTTCGATGTCCAGCGTTGCCCTCAACCGAGGTCGCGGCCAGCAGTGGGTGAGACAGGATTATTTTTGGGTTACTATTTCAATAAGATGGATCCCAAACAAACACTTCATTTTAAAGTCACTGCAGATAACTTGGTGAAACAGAATCTGAGGGACGGGCGCACGACGGCGTCGAGAACCTATGGGGCCAAGTTATTGGTAGCATGATCTAGTTAATTGGATTCAGTTCAATTCAGACCACTTGCTTTGAATTCTGGTTCTTTCTATGTAATTCACATGTTACATGGTGTTGGGGGCCCCAACGAAAAGCACGGCTGATAGCTGCTTTTCCAGCAAAGCAGTCGGCAACGGTGACATCCTAGGAGTGGTTGCACACACCGAGTGGCATCACATGGTTTTATCATATTTGATCACTGTTTCGGAGTAATGATCGATGAAGTTCATATATGCAAATTAATTTATATTTGTTTTTACTCTCTCTGGGTCTGAGATCTGTGCGCGGCATGCTTGATGTTCCGGCGTGTTCTGAACCACGTAGTGCACAAGATGAAGACTCAGCAATTCAATCATAGGGGGTGACAAAAGTGGGGCACTACGAAACGAGCTTTCTGATTTCACAGCAGTAAATTGATCCTGTTGTCTGTTGTCTTTTCCATGGATCATGGAAGCTATCATAAAAATGAAAAAATCATCGTAATCTCAAAAAAGGAGCAAGAGAATGGGAAGACCCCATGCCATCAGCAAGCTCTCCGCATCAGGTGATAGCTCCATGAATGAATCAAATTGCCGGGATACTTAGATCCAGCAGCTATGTCAAATTGCATGCGACCTTTGAGCCAACTTCTATCAATCAATAAATGTTTAAAACTCTTGAACTGACATGACACTCTGGGCTTTGGACTTGGCATGCCGAAAGAATTCAGTCTCCAGCTCTTGGAGTGGTGGCTGGGAATCTGGAATTTTGCTGCTCCATCAATCCGTCAATCAATGACTAAGACGGATCTTGTCTCCGCAATCAAAAGATATTGACTGGCATGAAGGATGGCCAGCGTACTTTTTCCAATCAAATTGTGCAGTAAAATATGTATGATTGATGGTTTGGAGTTTGGACATGGTTTCCACCAAAAGCTGTCAGCACACTGGTCCACTACCTTGTGCCATCCGACTGAGATTTCTGCAGTGGATTCACGCAGTAAGGAGAGAACCTAGTAGATCTATTGAGATCATTGCCCCCAAAAGTGCACAGCTACCCAAACCGAAACTACCAAAGTTATATATGCAAACAGGGTGAAAATAACATAAAATAACATCGATATTACTTAATATTATTATGATCGATCTATATAACAACTTCATCCAGGTCAGGAGCTGTGGTATACCCCATAGAACCCTATAGACGACTGGAATGACTCAGATTTGAAATTTGGTCCTGCCACCGATTGTCCTGCCACCTCATTGCTGAGGTGCACCCAGCCAATTCGCAACGAGAAGTGCAAGTGGCCACCTGAGCAGACGGGGAGAAGCATGAGCGGACGGGAGGAAAAGGGATATCAAATTTAAACATAACCACGATATGTCTATATGTTTCAAAGAATTGTGTTGATTTGTTCTGATCGTTTATATATAGCATCATGCCCTTTAAATATCATTATGTGATTTGAGTACCCAAATGCAAAGGGATGATCTGAGTTCAATGCGCTTTTTCCAGACCACCATACTTTGTCCATCCCATGCTCACTCCAAACTTCTTGTTCACCTGGGGGGGGCTTGGGGTGTAGATCGATCAGTAACAAAAATTGTGGATGAAAACCCAATTTGT